TTATGATTTAGAAATTGAATTAATATTTTGGATTTAAAATTAGAATCGGAATTCTTAGATTTAGAAATTGAAATGCGAGATAATTGCGTCAGGAGGTCGATATCTTCAAAGATGAAAAGTGAACAAATTTACTAGATATTAACCAATGAAATAATCAGTATTCTAGTAAATTCGCTCACTTTTATCATTTTCATCTCATTTCGAGATTCCCAGACTTAGGGTACGATACTACAAACACTTTGAAGCGTTTTTTAATTGGTCAGTTTGTAAAATTCTTTCTTCTAATTGATCCAGCAAATGCTTCAAACCATTTATAGCGAGACTTTGGCTACAACTTTAGTGTTACGTTCGCACACGACATTTAAAATCTAGAGCGGAGATTAGTAGACAATAGAAGAAGCCGGTATTTCGCTCTGGATGACGCGCACTATTCTTCTCTACATTTGCCCGTGGGCGTTCCTAAACATCCTCTTGCATTGACCGCCCCGTCAACAATCTCTTCGTCGGGGAGAAGCGTAACGTGTCTCTAGGGACTTGGTGTCTGCATGTATTATGACTTCTGCACATTGGATGCGGAAACGCTTGCGCGGCAAAATGAGACGCGGTAATCACATTAGGAGCTATAAGCTTATTGGCTACCGCATTATATTTTGCCGCGCTGCAAGCGTTCCGCCTCCAGCGTGCAGAAGCCATTTCTCAGGCCTGTTAGCAAGTCTGTTCAGTCAAAATAAATCAAAAAAACAAGTCAAAAATAATTATTGACAAGAAAAATAAAGTGTAGACATGACAAAAGGAGAACTTTAATTGGTTTATTTTCTTATGCATTACGTGTTATGCATTATACAAAAGTCTGTGCTCCCCGCTTAATAGAGGAGAAAAGAAGCAAACGGTTTGCGTGATTTTTAGAGTTAGGACTCTAGATAAGAGGCTCCGCAATAAGGAATAGAGAACAGAATAAGAATTTCAACCTATCAGAAATCATGTATTGTGGAATACACAGTGTATGAGTTTCTGATAGGTTGAAATTCTTATTCTCTATTCTCTGTTCCTTTTATTGTGCGGAGTCTCTTATCTAGTTACTTTCTGTACCGCTTACCGCGCTATATGTAATTGCCTCTAAAAGACATGGGAATGCTTGGTCTAAATATATATGTCGTTGCTGACAACGTATCTTGCACCATACCATGATTACAATAGAGTTTTTGTGATCACGGATTATTTTGACAATTGCGAACGCACTAGACGATCTGCCTCGATCCGTGTTTATTCTGTGCAATGAAAAAAGTAGGATACATAGATTCCGGCTTTTGTCGTAATCGCGTATAATTTTGTCGATACATTAAATCGTGAAATATTCTTGTCCGATCGTCCCGATATATATATATATATATATATATATCGTCTTAAAATATGGCACTGTCAAATATTTTGTTGCTCAGTCAAATAGCGGGCTACGTTGTGGCCTTTATTCTGTCGCTCTGCATCATCGTCCCTATGAGTCTACATCAGGATGAGTTTAGGTAAAATTAGAGCTCGATATGGTAATCATGTTTCTATTATATATCATGAGTTTTATTGTTTTTTTTTTTAGGGGACATTGTCTTTTGTTTTCGACTGGAGTATGGCAGGAATCAGATGGTCAATTTGTAGTAAATTGGGCGTCGCAATTATACTGCAATTATACGATATTCGTAGGCTTGCTACTTCTCATAACATCAACCATACAGATCTACCGATTGTCCCTGTTTATGTACCGTGGCGAAGACAGTTCATTTCTCTCTGCATTTGTAGACGTTGTAACTTCGATCGTTCTCACCACTATCAGCTTAATAGCTGCGATTATTGTAACTTTAGGTTTTATGACTTGGTGTCAATGTATGACCAAAAGGTTTCCATCATGTGAATTAGCAGCTGGAAATGATATTGACAAGGCTGATGGTATTGATACATCAGGTTTTCATATCGAACTTGGTGCTGCTCAATTTGGTATTTGGAGCAGCTTATCAATTTGGGTTGGTTTGTCGGTTTTTGCTGTTTTAAAGTTATTAAGGTATCATCAGCTAGAAAATATGAAAGTTTCTATGTATAGAGAAAGACAAAGATTAATAGAAGCTACCACGAGTAATCAGCAGCAGGAGCAAAGTTAAAAGTCAGTAGCCTAACATTTTGTCCTTCAAGGTAATTTTGATAATATGTTTGTTACTTTGCAAAGGCGAACGAGATTTAAGTCTCAAAGAATATATATTTGTATGAGATTCTTTGTGTTCGTTAATTTTAAAGCGTACAGAATATGAGCAGAGTAATATATCGATAAAGTATACCATTCAAAGCTTATCGATATTAAAAAGTGTAGCAATCTTTTCATTACAGATTAGCATATATAGTAAAATATTTTTAGAATATTACAAATTTATTCTTGATTTAAAAATAAAATAAAATCCTAATATTAAAATGAGGCTATAATAATTTTTAAATTAATTCATTATAAATATTTAAAATAATTCGTTATATAATATTTGTTATTTTTAATATCTTGTAATGTTTTTGTTATGTATGTTGGATATGTAATTATTTTCTATGTTTAAACATGATTAGTGAAGTATTTCTACATTATTGTATATCTACATTATACTATATATATATTATACGTTATTACTTCAAACACACATGGAGTGAACATGGATGTACGAACATCTGCTTATATGATGTATCGTCCCTAAACGCATGAAATATCAGCTCTGTGATAGTTAACTTAATTAGATTGTTAACTTTAATCGCTATTAATTTAAAAACTATTATAGCCTTGACATTTTGATATTAGGATTGTTGCCTTATTTTTAAGTCAGGAATATGTTATCAAAATTTTAGTCACGAATGGTGAGACACATTGTATAAGTCGTTGATTAGTCGATTTTTTCCAAATTTAGATATACAGATTTGTATAAAAAGAAATCGTGTCAGCAATGTATATATTTCCAATTATAATAAACAAATGTAAATATAGTTATAGGAATATAAGTAATCAAAGCTAACAA